GGGATCCTCACTCTGCAGAGACAAGGAAGGGGCTGACCTGCTTCCCTGTGGCTCCAGAGCGTTCTGTGGCCGAACCATTGCGTGGCTTCAGATTCACAGTGTAAATAACATGGCTGCGAATGTGTGTGCTCCTTCTCTTTGCTTGTCTTTTCTTCCTCAGGATAGATTTCTAGGAGTTGGACTACTTCTCAGTACATTATTTCCAAAAAACTTGCTTTTTCAGCAAGTCCTCCTAATTTCAGAGCCATTGGTGGCAGTGCTGATTGAGACCACCACTTCCGCAGTGTCGACGCGGCACTCACCGGCACACCAGTGCACCCCAATAGAACACGTGAAAGTGGGGCTCAGTTTCATTTATTTATTGAGAATTTTTTGGATTACTTAATTTCGCTTTTGGGAATTTCCAATTTATATCTTTGGCTCAGTTTTCTGTTGAGGTTTTAAGCCTTTTATGTCACTTTGTAGATGTTCTGTAAAGTACAAATATGACTCTTCGTTGGTCATATTTGCTGAAAATCTTCTCCGGCATGTTTTCTTGTTAATTTTGGTTATTTCTGTAGTTAGAGATTCTCTTTGTTCTTACGTGGTCATGTCTGTTACTCTGTATTTGGTGACTTGTTTCCAGCTTAGAAAGTAACCCGTCCCACCTAGGCTTGATCAGTATCCCCTTTTGTCTTTCTTCTGGTTCTCATTTGATTTAATCCTTTAAACTGTCTCTCGTGTTAACCCATCAAGGCTGCAAAGATGCCAGGAGTCCTCTTCTTTCCTTGCCTTTCTGTCAGGCTCCCCCAGTGACCTGACGTCATTGGCGAAGGGCCCCAGCAGCTCAGCTAACTGAAGTATCTAACTAACTGGGCTTAAACAGCCCCCTCCCCAGCCCAGTATAATTTAAGTCTTCCCCTTAATTTTAACTTTCAATACTTTACTACACATTGGATTCTTACATGACGGGGCCTGTCGGTTAGAACAGGCTGTTAGAGTCCATGGTTTTATGTCTGTATTTCTGTGCTGCAGTAGATCCTCATTATATTTCCTTTTCAAAAATCTCCTTGGTTTTTTCCCTCTTTGTTAAGTCTTGTTTTTGTTTGTTTTAAGTACCTCTGAGAGTGAAGTACTGCACTTTTCCTTGTAGTGATGGCCCTTTTTTTTCTTGTTAAAATTCTTAGTTTTCAAAATTCACATGATACTGTGTCAGTTTACTTGGGGCGCAGTTCTCAGTAATGGGGTCTTTGGGTGGTAACACACAGTAGAATATACAGATGTCAAATTATAACGTACACCTGAAAATTACATAATTATATTAACCAGTGTTACCCCAATAAACTTAATTTTAAAGAAAAGAAACACAGATGAGCTGTTCTTAAACCAAGGCCAACTTGAGTCTTTTAGGGATTTAGGATTCTAAGCTGCTTGGTGGTCTCTGAGCACTGACTCAGGGTGCCACTTGTGGAAATGTGACGTATGAACAGCAGGCTGCGTCCTCAGGTTGACTCCCAGCAGGCTCCACCCTTTTGGTGGGGTGTCCTGTGTCTTGGCCCTGCTTTGTTTAAAGCAATGAGGACTTGTATGATGGGTTCAGCTCTGCGGCCCCATCTCCCTCTGCCTGTCGTCGGTTGTGTGAAGGCTACCAAGTGAGAGGGGACAACAGGCGATATTTCAGGTATCTGGTCTAAATTATAGATCAAAAGTTCTGGAAAGCAGTGGCATTTGTGCGCTCAGTTACATTTGGAGTTTCCTCCTGTTACTGAACTGAGTTTGGAGCTGCGAAGGGAGAGGTGTGACTAAGGCAAAGGTCACAGATATCATTGGGAAGATTGTTTTGAAGGGAGGAGTTTAGAGAATTTGTCTCTGACTCATGTGTCTCATTCTGTTTTTCTCTTTTTATAGGCACCAGTTTGTAGAAAATAACTTAATACTAAAAATGGGTCCTGTAGATAAGCGAAAGGTAAGTCAGACTCCGGCTGCTCCTTCCTGTGTGTCTGTCTGCATCCCAGTTCTAACTAGGATCGGTTTTTTTCTCGGGCTCCTGCTGTAATGCGTTGCACATAGCATTATTTGTCTTGGTTCCCTTTCAGAGATCATCTCTTAGATTTGATAGCTAAGGGAGATTTCAGCCATTCAAACAGGGGAAGCTGTTTGAAACTACACAGAAAAACTAGCAAAATAGAAATAGAGCCTCTTGTGTCTTCCCGGGAGCCAAGGTTCTGGTGTCTCTATGAGGCTGAGTTCACCAGTATCAAGGCTTTTCTGTCGCATTGAGGAGGCTCTGCTTGGCATCCTCACGAGTCAGTTATCACTTCGTTAGAATTGTTTGTGAAAATTATTATGTCTTATGGACTCATTAAATGGATTATGTACATAGAGATGCCATAAATGTTCTCCATCTGCTGACATGGGCCCTTCTAAGCTTAGGCTCCTGGTCTCCATTCCTGACTCCCTGGGGCATCCTCAGCAAATGAGAACCTCCATGAAACTGGGTGAGGTATGACCGGCTGGCAGGCAGAGCTGTGTGCTTTAGTGTGGAGCAGAAGGCACAAGAGGCAGTGAGGGCCTGACCGTTGATGACAGGAGGCCCGTCGGAGTTGACTTGGCAGTAGGACCTGTGCTGGTGTGCCGGCTTGTGCTGCCACTGCCCCATGTGGCAGCCAAAGTACAGACACCCAAAACGGGAGCCTTGGGATCCAGCTCACCAGGCCAGGCAGTCATTGCTTCCACTCTCTGACCTGAGGCTGGGTCCACATGGGGGAAGAGGTGTGTGTGCTCCCTCTGTCCCAGGTGAGTGGACAGGTGGCTTGCGGTGGTCTCAGTGCCCCGAGCTACTCTGATAGTCCAGCCTCTGAGTTAGCTTAGGCTCTGGCAGCACCCACTCTGAGCCTTGGACAAGCAGGGTCCTTTTTTCTCGCATCAGGGTTTATTTGCACGACGACGACAGTTACTGCTCACAGAAGGGCCACACTTATATTATGTGGATCCTGTCAACAAAGTCCTGAAAGGTGAAATTCCATGGTCGCAAGAACTCCGACCAGAGGCCAAGAATTTTAAAACCTTCTTTGTCCACACGGTGAGTTTGTCCCTGGGGGTTCTCCTTTGCAGGGAAGTCGGGGGCCTTTGCACCTCTGTTTGAAGTGTCCAAATACTATGGCCCAAGGGACTGCCGGAGCCAGGGCAGTCGTCTCCCCCTTTCCTACATCCCAGTGGCCCCAAGTTCATGGCTCAGTCTTGAGCTGGGCCGAGAGACACCTGTGCTTGTTTTCCAATCTCTACACATATGCAGAAGGAAAAATCCACATGCTCATGGGCTTCCAGAAGGTACTGGCAGTGGCCTCAGTAAGACAGTTACTTTTTATGATTTTTGCCTGATAGCTCGAGGTGCTAGTCTTGGTGAGACTCCCTTGAGGACATTAAACGTTTCTGTTTCTGCAGCCAAACAGGACATATTACCTGATGGACCCGAGTGGGAATGCTCACAAATGGTGCAAAAAGATCCAGGAGGTGTGGAGGCACAGATACCAGAGCCACCCAGACGCCGCTGTGCAGTGACCGGCCCGCAGCTGCTGCCCTCGCTGCCAGGACACGTGCCCCAGCGCGGCTCACCGCCATCCGGGACGCTTCCAGACCACCTGCCAGCCATCTCAACGGGGACGCAGACGGCGGATCCTTGCAGCTTTTTTATTTAAAAGAAAAGAAAAATTACCCAACCACACAAAGAACAAAACCAATAATGAACAGGAATTCAGGGTCGCTTTGCTTGCTCTCTGTGCTCTGTGGAGGCCTCCCTGAGCTGTCCTTGCCGCACGGTCCCAGCACCATGAACTTCTACCTGATTCCCACCCAGACCTGTGGACCAGTGTCACCAGCTCTCCACCGTGCGTCTTGGTCACTTGCTGGTCCTGCTGTGGCTGAGGGGGTGGGGCGTGTCTCTGGGCCTTTTGCCCCTAGAGTATCACGGAACTCTTCACCAGGGAGTGGTGCATGGCTCCGCTGGGGGTGGCCTCTGGTCTCCGCAGGGCAGGATGGTTCTTGGCTTTTGTCCATGTGCTCCTTTCCTCACGTCCCTAGTTCACGGCCCATCCTCCATGTTGTGGGCTCCTTGCTTTCCTCCTCAAGTGGCTCTGGCCACGGGATTTCCGTGGTCTTCCTGTCTGCGAGTGCTCCACTTGTCGTGTCTGCCAGGCAGGCTCCCAGTGCTGAGAAGTAGGACAGGTTGCCGGGTGACATACGTTGGAGGTACCAGCCAGGCTTTGAGCCATCACCCTTCTGAGCAGTGCTGCCCTCCAGGGCTGGAAACCAGGCCTGTGCCTGGTCGGTAGTAGGTCCGGTTAGCCCCCAGCTGCCCTGAGAGGTGGCTCTGGTGGCCTCCACGTGGAGGAATGAGACCCAGTGAACCCCTCCTGAGAGTCTGTTTGAAGAGTGAAGCGTGCAGGCCTCTCCCAGACTGCTTAAGTAGGGGCCGAGAGACCCCAGTTCTCACAAGTCGTAGGGTGCGCCGTCACATCTGGGCATCGGGAGCGGTGTCTCTCGGCTGGCACACTGACCCTTTTTGTGCTGTGATCGAACATTCTCACAGCCTCACTCAGTACAGTTTTACACCCCGACAGAATCTAAAAGCCGCCTCATGTTGCCAGGTCATCTGGTCCCCATCGAGTGGACTTTGCCTAGAAAAAAATGTTGCCCGCCTTGCATGAGGGGCAGGAACACCGCACTTGAACCCAGACTCCCGCCTGCCCCTCCAGCTTCAGGGTCCCTCCTCTCGCTGCTTAGAGGCAGCACCTGCCCTGCTGTACATGACACGTGGGCCAGGTCCCACCAGTCCTTTGATTTTCTTTGCTGCTGCTCCCCAGACAATGAGAACTCCCGTTGGCCTGGCAGGGCTTGGCTGTCCCTCTCTCTGCCCAGGTTGTCCCTGCAGGGCAGCTTTCGGCTGCCCGCAGGCTGCTCCCAGACATGTCTCTGTCCCCCGGGGATGAACACTTTTGCCGTTTCCTTTAGACTTTCACCAAGGCACCAGCAAAAGGCTCACACAGGAAAGACTCCCCCTCATCCCTTCCCTGCCCTCATCTCCTGTTTCGAAGGCACCATCCGTCACCCTGTGACCAGTGGGTCACACTGAGTAGTAAGAGTGGCTCTTAAACTGGGAGAAAGTGCAGCCGTGGGGAATTGCCCTGAGCCTGGCAGGGCGGGGGGTTTGGATGGGAGCAGAGGTGGTGGCCGCCACTCTGAGCTGAGAGCCCACAATTGTCAGGGAGGCCCAGGTGTTGGGGCTTAGCTGCACTTGGATCTTTCTCCTTCTTCCTTCCTCCTCACTTTTGAAAGGCTTGCCTGTGTTCACCTGCTTTTCAAAAAATGAGTCTGACGTGGCCCTTTCTTTCAGGAATTTCACTTCAGGCTTACTACCATATTTACATGTTACCCTAGAACACCCGCCTGTGCGAGCAGGCGGGAGAGGGTGAGAAACCCGCTCCTGTGCCCGTGTCTCCGGTGTCTGGTTACAGGGAAACAGGCAGAGCTGGTACTCGGCTTTAATGAGAGCCCTCAGCTGGGCTGCTCGGGGGACAAGACCTCCCTTGCATTCTGCCCCCTGGATAGCGCCACTACCTCCTGGGCTTAACCTACAAGCTCCATCTTAATCTCCAAAACCAGAGAATAAGGGGTTCAGGGTCGAGCTCGCAGCTGACAAAGCTGGAATGACTGCCCTCACCTGAGCCAGTGACAGCTGAGCCCTGCTCTGTTGGCCGACTTTCTCCACTCAGTCCTTTCACATGTGTATGTATATATATAAATATGCACATACACATACATACGTAGTCTTTGCTTTCCCTATACTTACTCCTGTCAGCTTTAGTTTTATCCACCTCGTCCTTAGAGCCATCATCCCGGCATGCAGGTGCCTTACGTTCTAAGATGTGGATGAGGTTGTCAGTCTATGTCCATACACAGACGTACTTGGACATATAAATGTGGAATTATCCAAAGTGAGAAAGAAAATGCCCTGTTGTTTAATAGATCCAGGAGTCGTGTGTCTTACTGAGAGAGGGCACGGACAAGTGTAAGTGCCTAGCCAAGCACCCGCCAAGCGGAGATGGGCCCACACCGTGTGGCCCCTCTTGGCACGGAGGGGAGGGAGAGTAGCCAGGAGGGCTGTGGTCTCCACTGTGCCTTGTCTCTCTCTAGGAGCTCAAGGAAGCTGAGTTTGCATGGAGTGGTTTCCTTCCCTCTTTCTGTGGACCCAACCAGGGTCATGGGCAGGCAGCCCCCTGTAGAGCATGAAGCCCCACCGATGAGTGGCACTGCCGCCATTCTGAGCCTGACTCTCCAGAGGCTTGTGACAGACTTGCTTTAGGAAAGATGGCTCTTGTGATCATGCCAAAGCTGGCGGGAACTGCACCTACCCCAGCCCCCTTGGGACACTCTGTGGTATTTGGGGCCCTGACCTGAAGGAATTGCAGGAGATGGCCTCATGGCATAGACACCCCCCCCCTCCCCCCGCCCAGGGCAGGATGCCGGCACAGGGGGCTCTGGGTGACTGTACTTTTTAAAAACATTGTTTTCTGAAAAAAATCAACCTAGGATCACCACCCAGAAAAGACCACTGTGAACATTTTGGTGTCCAGCCTGCCCTCCCCCCACCCATTTGCTTTTTTAACTAAACTGGGAACATACAACATACAGTGTTTTGCATTTAGATTTTTTTCACTTGATATTTTACCTTAAAGCATATCCCCATGTCTTGAGTAATTATTGAGAAACCTTGTTTTTAATGATTGTAGAATTCAGTGGTTATAAATTTTGTCATGATATATCCGACCACTTCTCTGTTGTAAAACATTTAGATGGTTTCTGGTTTTTTCACTATTTAAATAATGCTGTGATGAATATCTTTCTAAATCTTTGATTTTTGACTGATTCTCCTTGCCCCCCTTCCCAGAAGTGGTGTTTTTAAGTCAAGAGTTTGTTCATTTAAAAGGTGGTATTAATCTTTTCCTCTGTCTTGATCAATTGCTTACAAGCTCAGCGTTCTAGTACAGGACCTCCTAGTTGTTTCCTTCGGATTCCGAAGAAATGAATTCTTGGTAAACTGTCTGTTCCAAAGAATGTTTGAATAAGACTGCCTTTTTCTTTTTCTTTTTTTTTTTTCTTTTTGCTAAAATGATGTCACTACTGCAGTCCATTTGTAACAGATTTTTCCAAAAGCCAATTTCCTTATTTTCCTTGAAAGAAACTGGTGTGCTTGCATGTTAGTTACCTTCCCATCGCTGCTGCTACTATGGCTTTCAAGTGATATCTTTCAGCATCTTGTACTTTGTGTCCACAATGGTACTGAATTTGCACAGTCAGCAGAGATAGAAAGTGTTGAACTGACCTTGCCACATGCTTAGTGGATGATTTGTAATTAAGTTTATAGACTCAAAGTACACTGGGCCCTTTGGAATCAGTAAAAGAGCAAAGGCTCTACTTGTAAAAGAAACCACACAGCTGGGTTTTAGAGAAGTGTTTGCTGCCCCCCTTACCCTTTCAAATCCTGAGACTTAGTAGAGCACATGGCCAGGCTTTTTCATGGTAAAAGTGATTGTCCTGGCTGATAAGGATTTAAGCACTTGTCCTCTCTCCTTACCCACAGTGTTGCAAGTTTGCCTTGTTGTCTTCACATCCAGACCACCCAAATTTGGTTTCATTCTTAATTTTTTCACTTTAGTGTGGGGCCCATTTATTCTGAGGGGAAAGATGAACAGAGATTTTTCTAGGTGCTGCGTTATGTGCCACTTGACTCTGCTAGAGATGACAGCTGAAATATGCAGAATTAGGTCTCTAGCCCTCCTCTGACACCCCAAGCGCCCACTTCCTTGGCCAGTCCACAGACTGAGGGTGTTCCGTGCCCAGACTGCAGAGGCTGCAGCCACTGGGAGAGTTTGGCAATGGTACTATTCTTGGAGATGTTGCCATGTACGTTTTTCCATATTGTTTCTTTTTCACATCCAAACCTAATGGGAACTGATGGTGACTCAAGTGGGTGTGGCCCTGGCCTCTGAGGCAGCCTACATGGCAAGTGCTTTCAAATCAGGGCAGGAGTCACTCCCAGAGCCTCTGAGGGGCACAGGCTGTTGGCCCAAGGTTGCGGGGCTGTAAATCAGGCAACTTGTGGAGGACTGGTCTAGGGAGGAGACTGTTCCAGCAAAGAGCAGTTTTATCTCCAGCTCAGACAGCCGTGGTGGGCCCCTGAACAAGCCTATGTGAATACCTGAATTTTCCCCATAACTCATTTCTTCGATATGAAGAAACACCAAACTTTATGTACAGAGAACTTTTTACGAAAGGCAAACTTTTTTAAACTGTGTGATCCACCCTAGTCTAACCCATCTGGCTGAATTACCCTGCATTGGGGTCATGATCATAAGTTTGACAGGACGTTGGGAAAATTAAATTTCACAGTATTTAGAGCTGCTGTATCTGTTTCTTAATACAAAATGGGATGAATCAATAGTAAGTTAGCTGTCTTTCAGGTTGGTGGCAGTCAGAACATGTGTAATATTCTCTACCTGGTCTGTAGCTGTAACTGTGATGTACAGGCAAAGCAAAAATTAAAAAAAAAAAAACTTATGAAAACAAATAATGCAATGATATTAGGATATACAGTTTTGTATTTTTATTCTTATATAAGGTTATTTGCTGGCTATTGTTGGCCTCTAGTTCAGTCTGTGTTATTTAAAATCTAATATATGAATTATTTGGATTGAATTCATGTTCGGGGCCACGTTGTTGTATGTATTGATGTACAGCCTTGAATGTGAATAATTATTGTAAACTATATTTTACAACTTTTTTTCTGGCTTTATTATATAAATTTTCTATTTGGTCAATGATTTAATCATATCATAATTTAATGAACCTGTTTCTTTTTCAAATATTTGTGCTTTAGATGTAGTTGCCGGATGATGAATTTTACACGTATGCTCGGGTAGTCTTGTAATAAAAAAGCATGTAGAGTGTACACTCTCGCTGCGTAGCTCTTCCTTGAGTCGGGGGGTCGGGCATCGTTGCGACCTGGCTTCGAGCCGAGCTGGGAACCCGGCATCAGCGCAAGGTACATGCTGGACGGTGACCAGAGAGTCTCTCTGGAGCTCTGTGTCCCTGGGTCACCGCGCGCCCAGCTCCGGCAGGAAGGAGCCACAACCGGCCGCTTTTCCGTATTGAACTGGCTCCTGGGTGAAACCTAGCGGGCGCTTTACGAAAACGGACCTGTGGGCAGGCGGGGCAGCTCGGAGGAAGGTGTTAAAAGGCCGGACACTTCCGGTGGAAGGGCGCTGTGGCGGGAATGGCTGGGATCACAACCGAGAAACACCGAGCTGCTTTCCCCGCAGCTGGTTCGGCGGCGGCGGCACCTACTTCCTCACCACGCGGTAGACGCTGTGCCGGGATTAGAAGTCTTTGAGGTACCGTTTGTGCCCAGCCCGATCAGTACTCTGACAAGGAGAGGTCTGCGCGGGCCTGCCGCACACCCTCTGCCGTACATTGAGCCAACCAGCCCCTGGCTCAGATCCCGGCGCTCCCAGAAAATGACAGTCATCTCCAGGATAGAAATAGGCTTTTATTAGCTGAGATTTTCCTTTTATAGCGTGGGTGTATGTTTGACTGTTTTTGTTGTTGTTGTTGTTGTTAGTAAACAGTGAGTCTTGGTGGTCATTTACTAGCATTTCTACTCTAGCCATTTCTATTTTGTACATAGAGTAATATTTAAAATTGCTACTCTCCATTACCTTGTTGAGTTGTTTTGAGGCACTGGCTGGATATTCAGCTCTGAAACAATTGATTCATGGCTGATTAACTATAGCTCTCGCACAGTTAACTCATCCCTTTATTTACCGTTTCAAGACTACTTAAAAATTTATGCTTTACTGTAATAAGAACCTTTTGGGGGAGGGTAATCAGTCAGACTATATCTACGTTGTCGTTGCTTTTTAAAATCATCATCCACTTAAACACATTTGTTTTCCAAAATGTAAAACCAAAATTTAGAACATGAAGGTAATGAAGCAGATGCAATTTCTGTCTCAAAAAAGAATTGATAGTAAATAAAGGTTAATTTTAGTTAAAGATAATGTGAATTTGCCAGAAAGAATAATGCTAATTCACAATTGTCATAGTCGTAGAGTTTTACTTCAAATGAGAAAATGTATAAGACATTTCATGTTCTTAGATTTTCCTTACTTGGTTCTGATGAAAGAATGCCCCAGAGGTTCTCTTAGATAATTAAACATTGAATGAGGAATCTGAGGATGAGGGGGGAGAGGAGCGGGTATTTGGAGTGGGACACTAGTAATTACACAATGTAAGAGAAACAGGATGCTGATTAACACGTAAAAATCTCAAGCCCTGACCTCCTGGTTAAGATTGATGAAAGCATACCTAACAAATAATCCTAGGGCTGAACATATATAAGCACAGGCCTAGTGGAAGATTTAACTAGTATTTTATTGAGCACCTGGGCTTGCAGAGGCAGCAGCACTAGGGCAGAGGGTTAGGTGGAGAGATTTAAGGAGGAGGAGTTCGAAGAAACAAAAGACCTGGAGCCTCTCAGGAACCTGATGGGTTTGCAGTTCACTGGGAGAGTGCCTGTGGTCTCTTGCTGATAAATGCAGACTGTCTGGTGGGGAGTTCAGTCTCTGAAGCCATGTGGGAGAGGTGGAGTTACAAGATGTTTTCTGGAGCAGTGCTATTTAAGATGTGGACAGACAGATGCTTAGGGAGGCTGGGGAACTGGGCTACGACTGGTCCCTCTCCCCTAAGTCTTCACATTCCCTGTCTCAGGACTGAGCCTGGGACCCACAGCCCACCGAGCCCCAAGCCCTCAAACCCTGACCTTTTTGTCTCAAGTTCTGACTCTGGGCCCATTGCTGCCATGACGTTCTCTTGCTGCCATGATCTTTATACAGCCCAAGTGTGAATTCTCATTTCCTCCCGGGGCTTCCTCCAGTGGGGCTGTGTCTGCATTATTCGTTTCAACTGTCCTGGCCTGGGTTTCTCTTCTGCGTTCCCTTATGGACAGGCTAGATATAATACACCTTCTCAGAAGTGCTTTGTAAACACCTGAGGTGTGAATCATTTGGGTTGTGCCTCTTTGTATTCCATGGTGACTGGCCCATAGGCATTGCTGAACAGGTCAGACTTTGTTTAGAGCTGAATCCGTTGGAGATGCTTTAGGAGTTAAAGGGCAACGGGAAATACAACTGCTGGCGGTGGGACACCAGTCAGATGAAGTGGGGTTTCAGGGGGGTTTGGTCTCCAGCTGAGCCAGGCCTAGAGAAAACTCCTAGTTGTCCTCTGACAGGGCCATTGTCCTGGGTTCGGGGTTGCAGATTCTGTGGTGTCAGATAGGTCCTTGAGGGGCGGGACCATCAGTGTGCTTCTGATGACATGCCCCTTGCAGATCTTTACTTGTGTTCGTTCTGGGCGTACTTGATGTTGGCAAGAGTCTCAGGACTGGAAAGATAGTGAAAGAACTATGACAGACGGCTACGTGACAGGGGCGTGGTCGAAAGTCCGATCTTTTCAGCTGCTTGGCAAGAGAAGGGGGGACAAC